TCGAAATGTGTATTACGCATGAAGATTCTCACCTTTTCATCCATGGTAGCGGCCATTATTACAGCACCGGCTAGTCCAATCGCCATTTTCACGTTTTGTGAGATTGTTGAACGCAATTGTCTATCATTATCGTTGTCAACAGCGATAACGTCCAATGACATCCTCTCATGATTCTCATTAAGGTATCTTATAGCTGTTTGTAAGATAGCCTAAATTGCAAATATACAGCTGCAGCAACACCACTAGCACATGAGAGCACAAAACATTTTATCAGGACACAAAAGCTCCTTTCCAGGTACTATTGACTACGGAATACGTATCAGATTCACGAACTAAGAAAGAAATTCAAATTCTGTGACAGAAAAGACCTTAGCAACCCACCTCAACTAAATCCAGCAGCGATAAAATTATTTCTGTGTCAGAAAAGTTTATATCACCATCTTGCAGTTGTTCGAAAAACACACCAGCGATAAGGTGGGACGACGTTCTTCGGAATTCAGCCAACAGGAAAAATTCATTAACTTTTTATTGAGAGTGCAAGTTGAGTAAGCAATTCATCGCTAATCACTAATAGAAGTGCAACTACAAAATGAAATAAAAAAACTTACCACTATCGGCCAGTGAAAAGATCAGTCTGACTAATGAAGCGAGGTGTATCTTGCTTTCTCAGCAGTGTCATCCCACATTCTTACACTTTTACAAGCAATCTCGATAAACAAGCGGCTCGCAATCAACGGGTCCATACTCTGTAAGACGATAGTACAGATATTTGCAAGAATTAATTCCGTGAAATGCAGTTCCTTGATAGGAACAGGCAAAGATATACGCACATGAAGTTGTATTAGGACTCATCCCAAGCCTTAGGCCTAACAAACGAACCTGAGATGCTCCTATTTGGTAAGGGTTCACTTATGTAGTTAAAGTATGCGTGTCAAAATCTGTTAGAAGGCTCCCGAATCAATCAAAGAAATTTGACAGGTTTTCCTCACTTTATAGTGGACGCTAAGACTTATAATAAAGTAAGAAAGAAATATTGTGATCTCATGCTTCTCGAACCAAAAACTCAGGCGACCCACCTTTAACAAAGCTATGAACACACCGTCCTATTTTCTGGGCAAGAAGTTCATTCTGCTCTGAGTATGAAGAGCGACAAACAAATTGTCGTCGGCACTCGCAATACTCTCACTATACTGCATGCCAGACGTGTGGCCTGATCCTGTGGCTTCCTTAACCAACATCTGGGCAGCACAACCGGAACTTCTGCTACGGTGAATCGGGCTTGTTTGAGCTTCTGTTTTGGCTTCAGTTCTTCGTGAAGTTTTGTATTCATTCAGAGTGCTGGCTGAAATAGCTGCCGAGTTCTCCAACATTCACATGCCGCTTACGCAACGGAGTAAATTGAAAACTGAACTTCATAAAACTTCCGAGGTTCGTATTTGATGCAATCAAGTTGGTCATGTTTTGATTTTTTGTGGAACTTTTGCGATTTGTGGAGGAGTTTTTTTTCCTTACTCATCATCGGACGCCTTGAATTTCACGCTTCACTCCATTTACTTCACTTTAGGGCGCATTTATAGTCGGTCGTCCGATCGTAACGATCGCACGGCATTGGATGCGTATCGATCGTCAGACTTGTCCAGAGATTGGACGATCGATACGTAGCTATCGCTGTGCGATCGTTACGATCGTTCAGATCGGACGACCTACTATGTATGCGCCCTTGTGGTGCCAGTTAGGGTCTCCCAAAATATCCCATTACACTGCTATACACTTCAGATCATTATCAACAAGTTTTGGAACCTATTTCAGGATATAATTCGAATCATATCTACAGTTATGGGTGCAGAAGACGCTTCGCCTTCTACACGACAAGCAGCAGTCGAATGTGTAGAGCAGTGGGTAAAGTTGCCAGGCGTTGGGCTACATCAGTGGACACCTGTACTGTCGGTAGTGTTTGGCGCTGTTTCTGATGATAGGTGAGTATCATATCATGTCGCTTACTCATTCATTTTATCGCTCTGTTGGCCACCATTTAGTGCTGCTCTTACCAATCTCCTCAATATACTGGCGGCTAATGATGAGTTGACTTCTATCGATCAGCTTGTACAGGACATATGCCAGTACATCACAACTGCTGGAGCTCAGGTAGGTCAACTTCTCGCCACTATTCCACTACACCTCAGAACCTAGAAAGAATTTTTCGTCGAAACTTCATTTATTCACTCCTACAATAGTTCGCTGCCCTGATAACGAATATGGTATTCATTGTTGGCATTAGCGCCATTCTGCGCTAATTTTGATCAGTGCTTGTTTTCGTCAAGTCTGCTGTGAATTTACACTTAGGGACTATTTTGAATATTACTTTTGTTTTTGGTGTTAGCGCCATTTACCGCCTATTTCCTTCTCTGCGTCCTCCTTATTGTAGGGATAGGGGAGATTCAGACGCGGCAAAGGACGAGTCGCAGCGCATACTGTAGCGGTTAGGCGTCAGGTTAAATAGAGTGTACCATACTACGTCTCATATCGCACAGCACGCGCTGCGACTCTTCCTTCGCCGCGCGACGGGCCTCTTGGGGTACACCCGTAGAGGTAGCACCTAAGCCAGGTAGGGAGGAAGGCTACGGCGTCCAAACCCAGACGGGCAGAAAATGTACGTTGAGTAGAACCAGCACCAAAAACAAATAGCATAGTTATTGTTATGGCACTGGATTACTTCATAATCTTAATGTGAC